CACCACCACTACTCCATTTCCAGCAGCTTGGGGAGCTTTCCAGCAGCTAGGAGGCATCACTTCTCAAGCCAAGAAGCAACCAAAGACTTGTCTTCAAGGGTGAGTAGCATTTCCCTCTTTTTGGTCCATATCTTGTGTCATTTGTAAGCCATACATGCTTGCTGTTTTGAGCTCTGGCCCTAATTGAAAGTGGCCTTCTTTTGAGCTCTTTTTCACTTTTTCTTAAGGGCCTCTCACTGTTTGAGGTTCCCATCTTGCACTTTCTTCATTATCCCTCTTGTATGCCATAATCTTGCATAGTATTTTTGGCCTATATGTGATCTGTTTTGGAGCATGATGTAAACTGTAGATAGGCTTATTTTGAGCTCCTCTTCAACATTGAAGAAGGGCTCACCACTGTTTGGGACCTCCATGTGCCACTTGGCATTATACCCCTCTTTGGTCCCCATTTTTGCATGATTTATTAACCTATTGTGCTTCTATTTTTGGGCATTTTTCAGAACTGAAAATAGTCTTATTTTAGCCTACTCTTCATGTTTCATTAAGGGTATTTCATTTTTTGAGGCATCCTTCATATACTTTGTGTTATATCTCTCTTTTTTGGCCATATTTTGCATGTTATTTTTGGCTTGTATGTATGCTGTTTTGGGTCCAACCATCAACTGTAAAATGCATTATTTCTGGTCCCTCTTCGGTGTTGTCGAAGAGTCTTTCTCTTTTTGGGCTTTGCATCTACCACTTGCTTCTTTGTCCACCTTTTGGCCTATTTCTTGCATGAGGGTTTAGCCATACCTGTGTTTGTTTTTGGGCTATTTTCAGAACTGTAAAAGATCATGTTTTAGGCCCCTCTTCAACTTTGTTGAAGGGCCCTAACCTGTTTGGGGCCAGCAGCTGTGAGTTGCTTCTTTATCTCGCATTTAGGGCTATTTTTTTTTACATGCTAGTTTTGCCCTATTTTTGTTTGCTGTTTGGCCATGCTTTGAACTGTAAAAGTGCTTATTTTGGGGCTGCCTTGCTTCTGTCTTTTCATTCCATGTACCAATTATGCATGCTTTGTATAGCTGTAAGCCATTTCATGTACCTAGTCTTGCATTTCGGGAGAAATTCCATGCATCGGGTGTTATTTCGCCTTATTTCGGGGCTGTTTTGTCCCTCGTTTTGCTACTAGTTTTTGCATGTTTGCATATCACATTCCATGTCTTTGCCATGTCTCATTAGAGTGGCATTTTGGTGCCTGAGGGTCGGTTCTCGGTTTGCGTGCACGCGTGCACGCTTTTCGAGGTGTCTTGTTTTCATCTGTTGGCCTCCTATGTGAGTGTGGCTGAGGCTCTCTCATGTTGGTGTAAGCCCATTATTGCATTGCGTGTGCCATTTCATCCATAGCATTGTGTATGCTCGGTTGTATATTACCTCGTATAGTGTGTGTGCCATTCCATAACATTGTGTATGTTAGGATTGTATCTTAGTTGCATTTCATACATGTCATGCATATTGCATTGTGCTTGGGATAGGAGTTAGCCCGGGCACGAGAAACGAGGTACGTTTCGTACTCCGAGTGACGAAACGTGTCTCAATTCCCCAATCACCGACACTCCGGATCATCCATGATGGAGTTAGGTCTTGTTGTGTTTTCATGTGCATTCATCCTATATTGAATTGTGCAATTCGACTCCTCGGCCATCATGCCTCGATGTGCGTTATTGGTGGCACGAGGATCGAGGCTTGCATATATTTGTGAAAATACATTGCTATGCCCCCTTTCCTGCTCTCTGTTTCAGCAAATCAAGAATCAGCGGTCTTTCGAGGCTTGGCATGCATTTCAAGAACAGGTGCAAACAGAGGCTAATTGGGGCATTGTCATGGATTTCCGCGCAAGACAGCCTAAACATACATCCTTCATCAGAAGCAAGGCAGTCCCTGGCTTGCACGCCAGTTTTTACAGCTTTCTTAGTTAATTTGTTAATTAATTAGGAATTTGTACATTATTCGGACTGTATTATTTGGACTGTACTATTCTTTTATTCGGGACTGTATATTTATTCGGACCCTCTGCACGAGGGCACAACTGTAATAAGTGTGCGTGTGTGTGTTGTATGTCTTCCAACCCCACGTCTTTCTCCCTTTTATTTATCCGCTTATGATGGTTAAATTAGGGCATATTTCAATTAGCATACAGTATGACAGCATGTTTGCATTCATTCATCTGTTTTGCATGCACCGGGCTCGGCGCATCATACTAACTGCATTTGTACTTTCATTTCCAAATTGAAATACATGTTAGCTGTAGCATACCATATGCCATGTTTAGAATAGCCGAGCCTGCTATAGTTGCATTTTTGCATGTGTTGCATTAGGCATTTCTGTATATTTAGGATCATGCATGATTTCTAATAAAGTCTTTGTTTTAGCTTGGAGTACTCTGTGAGTTTTATGCTTTAGCATCCTTGCATGCGTGTAAGTGACTGCCATGAATAGCATGCTTACCATGAGGCTATATGCTTATGTGACATAACTGCCTGAATGCCTGTGGGTGAAGGTTGGGTTATTTGGATTGGGACAAAACATCAACTGTGAGTTTTAAGCCCACTAGATAGTGGCAAGACCATCTTTTCTAAGCCCACTCGAGGGTGGCAAAATCTGCATTTTAAGCCTACTTGCGAGTAGCAAACCATCTTTCAAAAACAAACATGAAATGTTTTATTCCAATCTAGGCGACCCAGTCTATACTTGTATGCTGTGCGCATCACATAGTAACCTAGGCTAATAACCGGAATAAGAACATACAATGTTTTCAAAAATAGATATCATGGTTAGTAGAGGCCGGTCGAGCGGGGTTGCTCACGAAGTGACCTTCCCCAATCGTACCCAAGTTCCCGAGCCGGGGCAACTTTGGTGATGACGGACACGTGGCCTTAGGCAACGAGTCAGGGTTTCCTAAATTTTCCAAAATAAAATATTTAGGTGGCGACTCTGTATCTGGCAAAGCAGTCCATGTTTGGCACTTCTTTTCTAAAAATCTGTTTTCTCAAAACGATTTGCCGGATTTGGACTCTTTGGTTCAGATTTAGAACCGTGACAAATTTGAAGAGTCCTGAGCTGTAGTGACCCTAAAATGAACAGAACGGGAGCTCACCCTCCCGGGGGCGTTCGGGGACGTCTACACATGTCACTGCTAGAAATTAGGCTTTTAGTGGCGTTTAAAAAACGCCGCTATAGCTATCAAAAACACCGTTAATTTTTTTTGTGACGTTTAGTACCAAACGTCGAAGATGCGGCCGTCGCCATAGCTTTATGACGCTTTAAAAGCATCGCTATATTTAGTATAGGCGGCGTTTTAAAACGCCGCCAAATGTCCCACCCTAACAGCACTATGACATCACTATGATTTAGCGACGTTTTGAAAATGCCGTCATATCTTTTTTTAAAAACTGACCATTAGCTAGAGTTTAGGTGGCATTTCTTAAAACGTCGTGATATCCTTTTTTTTAATTTTTTTTTATAAAAATTGTGCTAATTTTATGTGATTAAACTAAAAAAATACCTTTAATAAAATTGAATAGCACTAATATGAAATAATAACATGCATTCAAATAGTAAATGTAGCATTAATTCACTTTCCCATTCAATTTAATATCCAATCATCATTACCCACAAAATAACATATCCACAAATGATGTTTTAACATTACTCACAAAATAACATATCCAAAAATTGAATTTACAATTCTCCACCAAAAAATCAAATGACTCATAAGCAAAGAACTTGATCCTTGTATATTACAATAATGTTTTTATGTGTGTAAAGCACATGCTTCTTGTTATCACTATTCTTGTCAGGATGCAGCTCACAAACAAAACCTATAACATTGACAAGATGATAACATAAAGCATTGAATTAAACATCTGAAAAGACTCAAAAATTAAAAATAAGTTTAATAATACAAGACGTATAATAAAAAAAAATTAAAATTTGTTAATACATACCCTAAAGCCGGATAACACATAAATAAAACCAAACTAGCATCAAATAACTTGTAAATGACATAAAATGAGACCCAAATTGACCAAAAACTTGATCGGATGAGGCCTATAGGCACTAAAACCTTTACAAATTCCAAACTTTCACTTTCAGTTGTCTGAGGAGCACCGATGCTCCTCAGACAACTGAAAGCAAAATGAAAACCCCCCCAAAAAATAAAAATAAAATAATAATAATAATAATAATTGCTAATCATGATAGACAACTACTTCAGTAACATCAATCGAAAAATAACTAAAAATTAATAAATATATATCAATATGAGGAATAAGAATTTAGTCCATAAAAGCTTACTGGCATTGGAACGGGATGTTCATTATGCAGTACATGCACAAAGTACTTGCTTGAAGACTTAGCTAGACAAATCATGATTCACGCCATCCCGGTTGACCCAAAATCTGTAACTTTTTCCATGACTAAAATAAGAAATAATTCTAAGTATTAAAAACTGATGGGGTTTCCAATCCCATTTCAGAAACAAAAACAAGAGAAGTAAAAGGTAAAAATAATAAACAGACATCTCATACCTCTGCACAACCAAATAAAATTATTTCTAGTTATTCTTTGCAAAATACACACATCAGGATTCATCGCTAATGTTCATAACTATGTTCCAAAGACAAACATCCAAAACTAGAACTCAAGTCTCCATGGCTTTAACCATTGTGGTTACCACAAAATGCATAAAACAATCACCCTATCATCTATCTCTAATCAATAATGAGGGCAACTGAAAAGTACAAGGTCTGGGCAGATTTGATTATGTGATTGTAGATTAACAACTATCATAAACTTTTGTGCTCTCTTGCAAATATTAGCAAAAGTTTCATAAGAAATGGGAATGAAAAGACAAAGCTCTCAACTTTTGGCATTATGTAATGAATTCTTGATAGAAGGACTACTCAAAACTCTCGGCAACTTCACACTTGCCATCAATGGACTCAATCTGTATGGAAAATTCACCATTGTTCAAACCCAATTGGCTCGTTCTTCCATTGAAACTCCGACTTCCGAAGTAGGAAAACTTCGCTGCCCTCTCGGCGAACCCAGGATCGGCAAAAAGTGATGGCAGATTGTGCCAAAACACTTCATAATAAGTTATCATCAAGAGAAAGAAACAATACCAAGGTCAACATGTTTAAAAGGACTCCCACTTGCAAAAACTATATGTTCTCTAGCATGCTTGAAAACATCAACAGCAATGCATTCAGCTGCACCAAAGTATATGCAAATACTATGTTCAATAGAGAAATTGGGAGCTCTATAAGTAAAATATGGTTAATTTAGAGGTCTTGTAAAGACAAACCATTCAATGTTGGATTTGACATAGCAAAAATGGCAGGTTTAGTAGAATCCAACTCTCGCATGGCCTTGAGCACCTGATTTACATGCAAGCAATATAAGTAAGGAATATGAAAATGTAAGAAGACACACATCTAACGAGCTCAAAAATTGGCTCTCAAGTATCCATTACACAGAGAAAAGGGGACAAAACTCACCTTTATTGTGCTTAGTTAGGGTCTTACAGTTAAACAAAAATACACAGCCAAAGTTGAGTATAAGAGGATGAGGAAATTAAGCATGTGAGGGTTAGTAGGAAAGGGCATAATGGCCATGGATTTGACTGAGGTTATTGCTCTTCAGAAATCTTTCTAGAAAAGGATTCATTAAGTCAAACTAACAAGTAAAATTGGTGCATTGTTGTGTTGAGCTAAGTGGAGTGAACTATGATAGTGATGATAACAAATGACATTTAGTTATCTTGATGAGGTATGCTTTTATATCCTAATAATAAATAGATGAATCGGAGTATGTAGTAGAAGTTGGGTAAGTAAAATGATAACTTTGATAGGATAAACAAAAACCATCTCTAAAAGTATTGCCAACATTTAGCAAGTGAGAACAAAAAGTCGCATAGCAAAATGTAGTCCAAAAATAAAAAAATCATTGCTCTGTGGAGCATAATATCACAGAAAGCCAAGACTCATATCTCTAACTATATAGTTGAGGCCTAGTTTAAATTTCAAATTTCAAATTCTGTAACTTCTTCAGTTTTTTTTCCCCACATATATTTTTTATTTTCATATCACCCATCAGGTGTGCATACATTCTAGTACACACACACACACACACACACACACATATATATATATATATGTATAGAACTCAATATAGTGGATTAACCACAAGTATTCTGTACAAGATTGAACTTAAAGTCGAATCATATAAGTGAAACCAATTCGGAGGTTGAAGAAGAAGAGAACGAAGTGAAATAATGTTACCTAGGGCAAAGATGAGTGGTTGGAGGAGGAGCAATTGGCAAGCGAAGACGAAATAGAGTCCAAAGCTGCAACTCAGCTCCAGGTTAGCTCAACTCAGCTCATGGGTGTTCATAATGTACCAATCACAAGTTACATAAAATTGTCAAAGCTATTCAACAACACAAAAGAGAGAAGAATAAGGGTCAACTCAGCTCATCAGGATAAGTGGACCACCTCAGAAGGATATTATTACTATATTGAAGTCTGATACACAAGAATATAATTAAAATGGTCAAAGTATCCAAAGGTGATGAAATTTAATAACAACATAAAAAATAAAATAAAAAATCAACAACCAAATCAACATTGTACCTATGTTGAGCAGATTGTTAGAGATGGCTAGTGTTTTTTAGCATAAATTATATTGAAATCACAAGAGGAGAAATTACACGGAAGTCAGACACAACTGAAAGTACAATAGGCATCCATGAAGTAACTTGTTAGTCTCTATCAATTTATCCTAATCGAGTTCACTAATTCTACACAGCAGACAAACTCAAAACATAGAAGAGAAATCTAAAAAGAACACACGGATCTATTATATATATACAAATTGAAACATTGGTTTGATAGATTACAAAGATTAACAAACAAAATGAATGAGAAAGTCAATTATCAGAACACAAATTGAAACATTGATTTAATGCAGACTTAATACCTGTGAAATACAAGCAAAAAACACAATTAAACACTTGTTTTAACAAGATTTTAGCTTGAGAGAGAGAGAGAGAGAGAGATCAATACATCGCGGTAAAGCTTTGAAATCGAGAGAGAGAAATTCAAAATCGAAATCGCTCTGAGATGAATCTCAAAATCAAAATCACTCTGAGACCGATCTGAGAAATCAAGCACAGCCTTTCCTGAGATCACTTCCTCTGCGATCGAAACCAACCCCTCTTCTCTCTTCGCAATCTCCCAGAGCTTCAGATCGATATCGCAAAGTACAAAGGATGAATCGAGAGAGAGAGAGAGAGAGCAAGACAGCGGAGCTTCAGAGCTTCAAATCGAAAGAGCTCTGATGTGAGCTTCAAATCGAAATTCTGGTTTCCAACCAAGTCAAATTATGAATCTCAAAGAAAATGGATCTGAATCGAAATCGTTGTCAAGGGTTTAGAAGCAATTGAGGGTGAGCAAGAGAGAGGCGTAAGGATTGTGAAGGCGTGAGATTCAAAATAAGGGTTTCCAAAGCTTTAACAAGTATTCTCACATTCAAAATAGCGCATGAAGGCCAACGTATTTGGAGGCGTTTTTAAAACGGTGTCGTTTTATTAACGAAATATGCGACGTTTTTATAAAATGTCGTTAAATATTAAAAAAAGTGGCGTTTAAAAAAATGCCGTTAAAAAAATGCCGTCTAAACCTATTTTTCCTGTAGTGTGTATCAATTTATTTATTTTCCTTATCTGTCGTGTCCTTTTGTTTTCTTTTGTTTTTGTTAACTCGTTAAATTGCCTTATCTCTTTATTTGTATTTATTTTCTTTTTTGATAGAGATGCAAATATATGAATGTGAGGTAGATGAAAAGAAAATGAGACATTTGTTTTTTAATTCGAATATGAATTTCGAAAATTGTCTTCTATTCTTAATTTTTTTATAAAAAAAAATTTATATGAAAATAATGTCTAAAATGCATTGAAAAATCTTAAATTTTCAAAATATTGATTTGTGATTATATTTTAATTTTAAATAACGAATAACAATTTTAATCAAACAATCAAAGACAAATCGACACAATGATTTAACGTAAAAAAATCACAATTGAAGCGCCTCCAATTGTGATAAAAACAAATTACGAGCAAAAACCACAAAACAATCCATAAAGAAGACAAAAATGAATTACACTATCCTCAATTACCTAGAGAATCCACGACTGAATTGAACCGACCCCAATGTGCCTCTTCTACCACTATCTTCACTTCAGAATTGTCTTGCCCAATGTTGAATCCACAACACCAATGTTAAATCTACGACGATGAGCCACTCCAAAATTCACCAAAGTTTTAGGCCCAAATTCTCCAGAATCCACCGAAGAACAACTTACTCTTTTGTGAATAAAAAAAAAACAAACCCCTTGATGATATTGATAAAACATTCATAAATTCATTGATCACTCTTAAATCATCGAGGAAATACTCATAAAGCACCCTCCAATATAAAACACTTTTTTTCCCCTTTTTCTCTAAAAATCTAGGCGGCTCAAATCTTAAAACGAGTAAACAGTGCACTTTTAGTAAACTGGATCGCGAAGACAGCTCGAGCGCACATTTCATCGCTCGAGCAATGTGACTAAAAGTGGTGCGAAACATATAAGCTAACCGCTCGAGCGGAAAAACTTTCTTCCCAGAAGTTCAGGTGCTCTGCATAAATACTGGATGATCATTTTCTTCGTTCAAGCGGTCAAACAACTTCAACTATATTTTTGCTTTTTGTTTCGGGGGGGCTACCCCTTGATCCCCGTACATAGTTAGCGAAGTTGCAAACATGAATGCCTCAAGATAACAAACTCCTCTGCATAGGCATAATTCGAGTTAGATTCGCATCTAAACACTTATAGTCTTACTAAAATAAAAGAACGAATAAAATTACAAATGAAAGAAGTTTTATCAAATAGAATTGTCAATTACAAAAACCTAACATACATTTATGATATTTCTTTCTTTCAAAAGTAGTTCCTTTCATTTTCGTGTCCTTTTTTTCTGTCTTTATTAACTCCATAAATTGCCTTTTCCAGTTTATTTGTATTTATTTTCTTTTTTAATAGAGATGTAAATATATGAATGTGAGATAGATGAAAAGAAAATGGGACATTAGCTTTAATATTCGAATATAAATTTCAAAAATTATCTTCTATTCTTGAATTTTTTATTAAAAAAATTATATGAAAACAATGTCTAAAATGCATTTATGATTTTTTTTTTAAAGTAGTGCCTTTCATTTTTGTGTCTTTCTTGTCTTTGTTAACTCCATAAATTGTCTCATCTTTTTATTTGTATTTATTTTCCCTTTTGATAGAGATGTGAATGTAGGATAGATGGAAAGAAAATGAGACATTAGTTTTTCAATTTGAATATGAATTTCAAAAAATTGTCTTCTATTCTTGAAAATTAAAAAATATATATATACTATATGAAAACAATGTCTAAATGATTTATGAATTATTTTTTTTTAAAAAGTAGTGCCTTTCATTCACATACTTTAAAATTGTTTCATGTGACATACTTGCAAAAAAAAAATATTTGTTGTTGTCCTTTTGTGTTCTTTTACCTTTATTCAATAATAAGGTCAAGTTTGGCAAGTTGTTAAAAAGTCAAAAAGTTACTCAAAAAGCTAAAAAGTTATTACTATTCACCAAAAGTCAAAAATTACGGCTGCACAACTCCCAATCCTAATTTTTCCCTATTAATATTCTCCTACACACTAATTTATATAATTTTTTAATGCACATTTTTCCATAAAAAGTCAAAAAGTTAACCCAAACATCCAATATTTTTTTTCAATTTTTTAGTCCAAAAAGACAAAAAGTGCACTTATTTAGAACACCCAAACAACCCCTAAGTTTCATTCATCTATTGCCTTCTCTCTATTTATTTTCTCTTTTGATGATGTTAGGTTTTTGTTATTGGCAATTACGTTTAACAAAACTCCTTTCAGTTGAAATTTTATTCAATTCTTATTTCAGTGAAGCTATGAGTTTTTAAATGCGAATCCAACCCGAATTGTGCCATGCAGAGATGTTTTAAAAGTTAATTCTTTCATGTTTGCCACTTCGCTGACTATGTTGGGGATCGAGCTGTCCAGTCAGCTCGTGGGGGTCCAAGGGGCAACGCCCCTTGACGGGTCCAGGGCAGTGCCCAGGTTCTCGATGGGCAGCGCCCCTGAAGCGAAAAGCTAAATTACAGTCGAAGTTGTTTTTGCTCGAACGGTCATTCATGCGCTCAAGCGTAGATCCGCTCGAGCGGCCATTCTTGCGCTCGAGCGAAGATCGTTTTCTATAAATATGTGTTTCAGTCCAATTTTAGAGTACGACTTCCAGATCTTCTTCTTGGGTATAAGGGTTTTCTTCTGGAGCTTCTTTGCTTATTTCCTTTTATATTTGTGAGAGTTTCAATCATGAATTGAGTGGATTATATTAAAGGGTATGTTTGTTTTATTTTTTCAATACAAAAGAGAGAGTTGTTCTTCGGTAGATTCCGGAGAATTTGGGCCTGAAACTTTGGTGGATTCTGGAGTGGCTCATCATCATAGATTTGACATCGGCGTTGTGGATTCAACGTTGTACAAGACAATTCCGAGGTGAAGACGAGGTTGGAAGAGGCACATAGGGGTCGGTTCGATTTGAGCGTGGATTCGCTAGGTAATTGAGAGTACAATTGTGTAATTCATTTATGTCTTCTTAATGGATTGTTTTGTGGCTTTTGCCCGTAGTTTTTTTTTCTTTATCATAATTGGATGCGCTCCAATTGTGGTTTTTTCACAAAAAATCGTTGTGTCGATTTGTCTTTGATTGTTTGATTAATCACAAATTAATATTTAAGGGATTTCTAGATTTTTCAGATGAAAACATAAATATATGAGAGGGAGGAGATGAAAAGAATTTCCATTAATATTTTTATATTTTAAAAATTTTACAGTGCGTTCGTGTTATGAGACAATTATAGTTAGAATTTTTAATTGATCATTTCAAAAATTGTTCTATTCTTGGGGGAAACAAATTAAATCAATACCTAACATGCCTGTGTGGAACTATTTTAGCAAAATGTTTTTATAATTTTTTTAAATAACCTATTTTTAAAAAGCAATTTTAAACTATATTCAAAGTTTTATAAAAAAAAGAAAAAATCAAATTAAAAATAAAATTGCTAAAAAAAACAAAAAATGAAAATAATATTATGTGTTTCAATTGCAGAAATTCATAATAATTTGTATTCATATCGTCGCAATTTTGATAAATATTTGTTTACAATAATAAGTTAATTTATTATTGTTTTGAAAGTTTTAGAAAAAAGAAAAAAAGAAGAAGATCAAATTAAAAATAAAATTGTTTAAAAAATTGAAAATGAAAATAATATTATGTGTTTCAATTTATGTCTCTTCCATCAAGGATGCTTGCAG